GCAGTTAGCCTGAGTTTGATCCCCAGCATCCCACGTGGTTCCCCAAGCACCACCAGGAGTAATTCCTGAGCACTTACTGAGCCAGGAGTAACCTTTGAGCATCACTAGGTGTAACCCAAAAATAAACTCAAAAATTGCAAAGAAAATTCACATTTTCTATTATAGGTTTCCAAGTTTTGGCCTTGTACACTAAGTAAGATTTTATGTCTGTACAGCTGCAATAGGGACATATTTCCTTTTTACCTCCATATTAAGTGACTGTTCCAGCATCATTCACCCAATCACTTGTTGCCTCACTGTGCTAGCTCGTTAGATACACCAGTTTTCCCTAGTATGTGTGGGTCCCTGTGTGGTTTTCTTTGACTCTTGAGGTAAACTGCTTCTGGGATAATCCTGTACCAAAGATAGGTAATTTTAGCATTTGGTAGGACAAATGTCATCCTTTTTCTAACCTGGTTCTCGAGCAATATTTTATTTACTCAAAGTTCTTTATGCTAAACATTTATTTCATAATCCATTATTCCAATATACAAAAAATGGGACTTTAAACTTGCAATTAAAATTCCATCACGGCTGAGGTCAGAGAGAAAGTACAGTGAGTAGGGCATTTGCTTTGCATGTGGCCAACCCAGGTTCAACTCCCTGTCACCACATAGAGTTCTCCAAGTACAAGCAGGAGTGATCCCTGAGCAAAGAGCCAGGAGGAAGCCCTGAGCACAGCCAGGTATATCCCCAAAACAAACAAAAATTACATTGAGCCTACAACTTAACCTGGCAGAAATATTTTTATGCCCCAAATTTTCCATCTTATTGTTTTATGTCCCTTAATAAGCTTTACTACTGTATACTTTTTGCTACGGTTTATTCCTAGGTATGTAAAATTTTAATAGCTATCCTGAATATGGTCTCCCTCAATCTTAGTTTTAATTGCAGCTTCTGACTGCTGGAAGTATTTAGAAATGCAAATTGCTGATTTTGGTGGAAAAGCAATCTTATCTAACTTCCTGACTAAAGCTGTTTTCCTGTGGATACTTCTGGTTTTATGTTTTTAACTTCTGTGGCTGCGTCATGTTCCTGGTTCTGGTCTCAAAACAATGCTGAACAGAAAAGATGACCCATGTTTTTGTCCTATTGCTGATATTGTAGGAACAGTTAGCAGATTTGTCTCGCCTGCCGTTAACCTGAATTTGATCCCGGCATCCCACGTGGTTCCCCCAAGCACCAGCAGGAGTAATTCCTGAGTGCCAAGCCAACTTTCAAGATTCCAGTTTGGAAATTAATTTTAGATAACTCAATTTTGTACACACTTCTAAGAGAGGGGATAGAACAATAGTACAGCAGGTAGAATGCTCACCTTGCAAGAAGGTGACCCAGGTTTCACGCATGGAATCCCATACAGTACCCTGAGCACTGCCAGGAGAAGTTCCTGACTGCAGAACTAGGGAGTAACCCCTGAGCATTGTTCCAGGCATGGCTCAAAACCCAAAAACAAAAGAAAAAAACTTCTTAAGAAGGCATGTTACCTAGTTAGCTAACAAAATAATTATTGAGAGGAACTAAACACAGTAACAAGTCTCACAATGAAGATGTACCTGGGCCCGCTCAAGCAAATCAATGAATGACGGGAGGACAGTGCTACAGCGCTACAATATTTTTATTACCGTATAAATTGACTCAATTAGCTCAGCATGTCTTATTTTACTCTTGCAGCCCATATGCCTGATAGCTCATACTTCTCTGAATCAGAGCATTCCTCGGTGTTATCCAATGACAGTGGGTATTAAAGGAAACAAGTGGGTAAGGGTCTTCAAATCAAAGCAAATCATCTCTGGGGAGTAGGATGTGCGCGGGGGGGGGGGGGGGGAGAGCAGACACCTTTTATTTATATTCAGTGCCTCCTCTGTGGCAGGCACTCTGCTAGGAATTCTGTGCATACTAACACATTCAATAGGAACAGAACAGAGTTTAGAATGATTATGTTATTGAGGGGGGAAGAATATATAGCTTATTTCACACACAATACAGGAAGTTAAGTTTAGGTATTTTATTGGGTAAGGACGTGAAGTAGATGTGGTCACTCTCAATGAAGTAGCAAACCGGAGAGAAGAGATGAGAGGACTCTCTTCAATCTTCAAGGTGGATGTGATTTTAATCATTTCCACGCTAATTTTCTGTCTCACAAGTAGTTCCATGGCTAAAAAAATTAAAATGGTTGAAAACCTTTCTTCTCGTTTACTGAACATTTAACTAGGCCAGAATTTAATACTATCTATGCTGTTATTTCCAAGGTTCCTTCCTTGTTTTCCACTTTAAAATAAGCACTGCTGGGGCTGGAGCAATAGCACAGCAGGTAGGGCGTTTGCCTTGAACGCGGCTGACCCAGGTTCGATTCCCAGCATCCCATAATGGTCCCCCGCGCACCGCCAGGAGTAATTCCTGAATGCATGAGCTAGGAGTAACCCCTGTGCATTGCCAGGTGTGACCCAAAAAGAAAAAAAGAAAAAAGCACTGCTGCTCACATTCAACCCATAGCTCCTCTTCCTCCATCTGAGTGAGTATATCTCAGGTGGTAAGTTGCGGGTATGGAGCATGGGGAAAACGTAACTTCGGTTTTTATAGGAGAGTTAAGTAAAATATTTTTTAGCATTGAAGAAAATAGGATATATAAGATCAAATACAAATTTTATTTGACATTTAAAGATTCAACAGAAAATTTCAAATAAATTTTATCTTCAATTCAGGCTGATCCCCTGATACACATGACAGAATACATCTGCTTTTCCAAAACATCACCAAAATAACTATAAGAATAACCATTCATGATTTAGGGAACAGGAAAGAGGGACTTGAGGAAGTAAATTTTATTTTTATTCTAAAATAAAGAATGATGATTATACTAGTATTGTCTGACATATTTTCAAGTTACTAAGAGTGAATAGTAAAAAAATTATAACTATATGAGGGAGATGATATTAACTAGACTTATGCTTTATACTACAAACATCACAATATAAACAAGTATTAAATTGCCATGCTGTATTTCTAAAACTAACAAATTATACTTTCAATAAACACAAAATGAAAAATTTAGATTATGTTTTTTAACGGACCAAAGAACTTGATGGGGGCTGGGGGGAGGAACACACTGAACACTATCCTCCTGTTGTTCATCGATTTGCTCGAGCGGGCCCAGTAACATCTCCATTTTGAGACTTGTTACTGTATTTGGCACACAGGCAAGATACTCTTAGTAGCTTGCTGTGCTCTCCGAGAGGGGCAGAGGAACCAAACCTGGATCGGCTAGGCTGGTTGTGTGCAACCCTACAGCTGTGCTATCGCTCCAGCCCATGGGGGCTGGGGGTGGGGGCGGGGAGAACAGGCTTAAAAAAAACTCCTCCATCAAATATTCAAATAGGTTATGTTTATATTTTCCTACATACTTGACCACTGACAATTTCCTAAACTGTCCTCTTTCTTGAAATAATTAAGTATTTCCTTCATTTATTGGGACAGTTAGTTGAAACTTATTTCATCAATTTTCCGTTTAGGTCATTATATTGCAGAATGTCTTTTGTTCTTCGTAGCAGCCTCTCCTGTTGCATTTTCTGAATTTCATCTTAATTTTCATCTGTACTACTCTTGGTTTAATGAAGACAGACATAAAATATTAAAAGAAAAAAAAGTATGGTCCCTTTCTGTGGACTGCAAAGTACCTACTGTTATGATTACACATAAGAGAAAGCTACCGAAGACTGCAAAGTAGCATGGAAATCCCTCTCCATTCACAGATGTGACAGCATCAAAGGGGTGCTCTTTCTGAAACAATTTTACTCATTATTCGCATGCTTATTGAATGTCTATGCTTTCCCTGGAGAGTCCTGGTGTATGTTCAATAGCTAAGGATTATCTTCTAATTAGAGATGGGAAGACCTGCCAGGTTTCCTACTCGTAGGTCAGAGCTTGCACAGAACTTAACCTGGATCCACAGTGGGCAGTCAGTCCGGACAGGGGACAGCGGTAAGGCATTCACTGTCACCTCAGAATTCGCAACGATGAGCTCCGTCAAAAGTTAACCACAAATACAGTTTAGAGGATACCCTGGTTTCATCCACTTACTTCAAAACTCACTGATCTTTTCAAAATAAACTGACTTTTTTTTTTTTGTTATGGTGTGAATTAGAGTGATATGCATTTCTTTCTCATAAAGCACTGTGACTAACTGTGGCTAGATTTGGGGTGAAATAAAATTGTTTAATCTAAAATTACCAATCAAAAAAATTCTAAAGAATATAACTGGGAAATATTTCTTGCTCCAAACATGCTTTTTAATGTTGACAAATTTATCTGTCACTGGTAATTTGATTAAAATATTTTCCTCTGTGAGTACCAGCATACACGCATGGCACTGTATCAGTAAACTTGGTCTGAAATCAGAGAAGGCTGGTGTCTGTTACGTCTCATTAATTTGGGACAATCTCTAGGACAGAATCATCCAGGGAGTAGAAAGACACAAATGCTATTAGATAGTATAAAATGGCTATGTTCAACAAACCCTGGGTCTTAATAAAAGTCTTTGTCTAAATGTAACTAAATTGCATCAACAGTCAGGCAATATTACCATGCACTCTTAATAAAACCAACAAGAAGATCGAATGACTAGAAACTAAAATAGCATTGGGAGGCAGAGTCATAAAAGATGTATGTTGAAAAAGGAACACAGCATCAATTTCAAGAGGTGACTGAGAAAAGCTTTCTAAATCATCAACGAACGGATTGATGCTCCCCTTAAAACCAGGGTTGCTAAAACCAAGCTTTGTGCTTTGTTCCTACAATTATTTATAAAGTTCTTCTTTAAGTAAGTAAATAGTTAAAGAAAATATAAATATCCAATACAGAGGGTTTGGAAAAACAAGACGACATCACTTTTTTACAAAGCCAAAGGCACTTTATAGTAATGAAAAAAAAAAAGCAGCAATGGTTACTACTAATAGCTCTCATACCTGTGCTTTTTGATGCCATTGGAGAGAGCATCTCCACCACCACAATCTTTTCCTTCAGACATTCTGTGTCTTCTCCCGCTCAAATGTTCTCCCTCCTCTTCAACCGAGAGTGCTGTTACTGCTTCCAGTCGACTCAGGGACCGCTCAGACTCGGAATCTGTGGCAGAGCAGGTTCATAGTCAATGACTCGAACTTTGGTGTGAGGCCTCGGGAACAAAGGATATCTCTCCTAATGCATCAGGCTTTGAAACTTAAGCAGACTACTTTGTCCTTCCTTCAACGAACCATTGGTTAACTACTTCCTTGGGGATTTTAGAGGACTACAATAAAGACACGGTATAATATAACTACAGCAAATTTAAGCAACACATAGTTTTATTCAAACTTAAATTGTAAAAGTTTTATACACTGAAAGAAATTTCAAACACAATCTGATTTGTGTGGAGGGGAGGGGCAGGGAGGGCACACCTGGTGATACTCAGGGATTGTTCCCAGCAGGGCCTGGGGAGTCATGTGGTGCCAGGTATCAAACCCAGGGCACCCACTTGCAAAACATGTGCTCTTACCCTTTAAGAAACTGTAATCAGAGCTTGGGAGGCTCAACTGTACTGCACTGACCTTGCATGCATGAAGACTGAGTTCAGTAGCTTGTGAAAGAGAGAAAAAGAGAAAAACAGGGAACGAAAGAAAAGAGAAAGAGAAATAAAGAAAGAGAAAGAGAGAGAAGGAAGGAAGGGAGGAAAGGAGGAAGGAGAAGGGAGAAGAGAGAGAGAAGGGAAGGAGAAAGGAGAGAGGGAAGTAAGGAGAGAGGGAGGGTGGGAGGGAGGGAGAAGGAAGGAGAAGGAAGGGAAAGAGAAAGGAGGAGGAGGGAGGGAAGAAGGAGGGAGGGAAGGAGGAGGAAGGAGGAAAGGAGGAGGGAGAAGGGAGAAGGGAGGGAGAAGGGAAAGAGAAAGGAGAGAGGGAGGTAAGGAGAAGGAAGGAGAAGGGAAGGCAGGAGGGAGGGAGAGAGAAGGAGAAGGGGGGAAAGAGAAAGGAGGAGGAGGGAGGGAAGGAGGAGGAGGGAGGGAGGGAAGGAGGAGGAGGGAGGGAAAGAGGAGGAGGGAGGGAAAGAGGAGGAGGGAGGAGGGAGGGAGAGGGGAAGGGAAGGACAAGGGGAAGGACAGGGGGAAGGACAAGGACAAGGGGAAAGGAAGGGAAGGGGAGGGGAGGGGAGGGGAGGGGAGGGGAGGGAAGGGAAGGGAAGGGAAGGGAAGGGAAGGGAAGGGAAGGGAAGGGAAGGGAAGGGAAGGGAAGGGAAGGGAAGGGAAGGGAAGCAAGCATTTTTAGGGTGGAAATTACACATTACCAAACGCCTATAATCTAGTGGAGTCTTCCACCTGTCTGGGAAATAGAAACCATCTGCCCATGCTCTCTCATATGGAACATAAAGATACACAGCAAAGTAGCAACAAAGGGACAAAGGTAACATAATGGGAGAACTGATCCATACAATTGAATTGGAAGGTAGGGGTCTAGAGGGAGGAGTGCTGGAGTCCTTGGGAGAGGGAGGTGAGCACCCTGGGGATGGGTGTGGTGATGGGATTATACGCATGAAGAACCATAATTAACAGTATCGTAAAGTTCAGAATCTCAATTTACAAAAATTCTTTTAAACGTCTTTCCTTCAAATAATCTTAAGTACAGCTTACAAAAAATATGGTTTTAAATATTTGAATATAAAGAAAAAGCTATAATGGCTACAAGTGTGAAAAGTTTTAATTACATCAATATAATAGACACAGAAGGAGGGCCAGAGAGATAGTACAGTGGGTAGGGTGTGTGCCCTGCAAGTGACCAACCGGGATTCAATCACCAGCATCCCATATGGTCCTCTGAGACTGCCAGGAGTGATCCCTGAGTGCAAAGCCAGGAGTACCACCAGTATGATCCCAAAACAAACAGAACTGAAGCCAAAAAACAGACATCGTAGTAAAAGTACTTCTGCTATTAAACTTTCAAAAGCTAACAACACCTAAAGCGTCCATATAAAATCTAATTCTCAAGCAAGCATTTTGAGGGTGGAAATTACACATTCCCAAATCCCTATATCTAGTGGAGTCTCCCACCTGTCTGGGAAACAGAAACCATCTGCCCCTGAACTGCATTTGTTTTCCAGAACATTCACACCCTTCCTCTCTGGTCAGCAGCTTCACCGTAACAGAAAGGTGGAGCAGAAGCTGGAGTTAAACGTGTATGCATAAGACATGTGGCTGGGGAGGTGAGCAAGGGAAGATTCGAATTCAGGTTTTCTGGCTCCTTGTTAACACAGAGGCCACATTCAAGCGAGACCCTGGTGGAACGCATAGGTATGAAGATAGGCACTGCCCTAAACCAGCACTTCTCAATCCCTTCCCAGCTGGCCCTTCGGACTGTACTTCTTTCCTATGGCCCTCATCCTACTGCTTGGCCCCTACTTTCTTTCTGTGGCCCTCCTTTAAGTGATTGTCACCTGCAGTCCCTGTGGGATATCCTGGGACACCATGTAGAAATGCAGCTCTCCATAGTTCCACTCAAAGCAGCACTCAATCTACATAAACATTATTTTTATTAAAATGCAAATTCAAAATAAGCCTGAACACCCCTCCAGAGCATATGATCCCACACCGAACTGTCAGCTCCAGGAAGCACTCACACCCATGCATGCAAACGCCCTTAAATAAGTGCAGCTACCATCTGCTTACCATGAATAAAAACTGAATTGTTCAGGAATCCAGAATTTTCAATGCTTTCTTGTCCCTCTACTGTTCTCTATAATTTAGCTAAAAACCATAGGACCTCATTTTTATTACATTAGGTTGATCAGTAACACCTCTTAGGGCAGCACAAGTGCATGTTGAATAGCACCCTAAGCTCTGCCCACTGGGCTGGGACTTTTTGGAAAATAGAGATTTGTTCAGTCAGGTACCCTAAAACTAAGAAACAAATATTTTAACAATACATTTAAATAGATTTATTTTTCATTGACAGTTCTGGACAGCAATCATATCCAAAAGTTAAAGATAACCCAAAGACCCAACAATGAAACAGTCGGGGGCTGAAGCAACAGTACAGTGGGTGATGTGCTTGCCTTGCATGTGACCAACCCAAGTGTGACTCCCAGCACTATGTACGGTCGGTCCCCCAAACACTGCGAGAAGTGAACAATAGATCACTGACCACAGTGAGCACACAGCCAGGAGTAAGTCCCGAGTACCACTGAATGTAGCACAAAACCAAATATATGTACATTTTTATAACAGAAAACAAACAACAACAAAAAATGTTTTTCCCTCCTTAAAGACCAGACTGGTTCTGCACCTGTACAAAAGAAGAGAGTAAGAGAAATTTGGTGAGGGCACAATGAGACCAAGTGATATATATGTCCACTTTCCAGGGAAAGCTGGAGGGGAGAGAGGCAGTGTGAAGGTAACGAGGAACAGCCCCGAAGAGCCTGACTTGGTAACATGGGCTTGTGGAGAGGATGGAGGGACTTTCACAACTGTGTTTTCAAATCGGTTTGGTATTTTTAAGAAATAAAGAATTTTAAGTGCCAAGCAAAATAACAGTCTCGGAAGAGTTTAGTGTCACTGATGATCAGGATACCATATGATTTAGGTGTCATGCAAACCAAAGAGCACTGCAGTTGTCATGCAAACCTCAAGCCAATGCATAGGATGATGTGTTTGTGTTTAAGAGATACAAATCCTAAAACAGGGAACAGTCTACCTGAAAAAAAATATTCTTCACAAACGCATAGCTGTAGTTAATGACAAAGTAGAAAGGGCAGCTCACAGAGCATCAATGAAGCACAGAGACTTTCTCAGAACAAGATTTCAACACAACGAACACAGGCTGTAGACACCAGTCCCTGCCCCTTCTTCAGGGGCCACTCCACTCACTGCTGGGCAGCAGGGCTGAGCCCACTCCCCTCCTCATCCCTCTCCTCTATTCCCTTCCCCCTCACACCCATATCTTCTTCACCGTCTGCTCTGCTCCATTCTTCCGCCAATTACCTTGCTCCCAGTCTGCTCCCTTCAGACAGAATCTGGCAAGCCTGACACTTCCTCCGAAGGCTTCTGACAAGGCCGTCAAATATCTGCACTGTATGAGGCTCAAGGGTCACTGCTCAACTCTTATGGTGACCCAGAGCCACCACATGTGATGCTGCCTAATCTGTAGTTCCCTTTATCATGTGCATGGTCAGGTGAGAGTCCAAGATCAGCCATATGTGGTACCTGCCTGATCTAGCAGCCAGAGACTGAAGTAGAATACCATGCCAGCTGAAAGGTTTTGTATGCTTGCTAGTCTCACTTCAAAGGCAAAGGGGCAAGTATGATCAATTACCTGATTTATAGCACCAGTGAGACTAAAACTACTTCTTTATAAAGATCTTTCATTTATTTTAAATTTTTAAATAGTTTTGGGAGCATACTTATAATAATGTTTAAATGCATAGTATTGATGAACAAAGTTCCTGCACACCATTATCAGCAAGGTGACCAAGACATTCTACCACTTCTTTTTTGTTTTTTTGTTGTGTTTTGGAGTCACACCAAGCAATGCTCAGGACTTACTTCTAGCCATGCTCGGGGGAACAAAAAGGATGCCAGAAATTGCTGTATTATCTCTCCAACCCTTCTACCACTTCTTCACTTGTAAACAAAAGGTCAGCATTTCCAATTCATGTGAAGTGGTACTAGAGAAATGTCTACCAGTCTGTGTGAATGGTGTGGATTTCATCGGCACTAGGAGCCATTCTCAGTAGGACTGTGTCTTCCTAGTCACAGCCGTCCATGTCTAGTCTAGCATAGTTTGATACAGAAATCCAGGGTTCTAGAGTCAAAGTTATTTATTTATTTATTGCTTTTTGGGTCACACCCGGTGATCCTCAGGAGTTCTTCCTGGCTGTGCACTCAGGAATTACTCCTGAGGGTGCTTGGGGGACCATATGGGATGCTGGGAATTGAACCCAGGTCGGCCGCGTGCAAGGAAAACGCCCTACCCACTGGTGCTATTGCTCCAGTCCCTCAAGTCAAATTTAACACATTTCATTATTTAGCAGCAAGGCCATAAGCACTGTAGAGGCTCTCTGATCAAGGTAAAGCCTACCCATGAAAGACATTTTCAGATCTTCCTAAT